GCTGGCGGCGCCTCCGGGAGCGCGCCGGGGCCCAGCCGCATCGCAGACTACCTGCTGCTGCCCCTGGCGGAGCGCGAGCATGTGTCCCGGGCGCTGTGCATCCACACCGGCCGGGAGCTGCGCTGCAAGGTAGGCGCCCGGGGTTCGGGACCCGCCGTGGGGTTGCGGGGACGCGGTGGCCGGCAAAGGTGTTTGGGGTCTCGCCCTCGCCGGCGCGGGGGGCCTCAGATGCCGTCTGCGGTGACTTGAGCGTGGTGGGCGGCATTTGGCCGGGTTCACACCCTTTGGGGGACTGAGGGATTTCGGATGGAGTGGTGTAATGCGGGCTCAGCAGGCAAGAGGAAGTGCGGTGTTCGGGGGGCTTTATCTCTGTTCTTTGCTTGGCGCCCAGTGTGGCGCACGGCGTTCCAAATAAGTTGTGGAATTGGATTCCTGGGCCATGCCCTTCCCCTTCTCTTATTCTCGTGGCTTCCCCCGCCCCTTGTCCTGCAAGGGCGCCCTGCAGTGGGTGCCTCCTTGGAGCCCGGAGCAGCTTGCGGCTCTCTTGCCGGGGTTCCAAGGCACCTGGGCTCAGCTGTGGGCGCTGAGGGGGTGGGAAGACCGTGTCAGGCTCGGGGCTTGGGGATTCCGGCTTGAACTTGCGCCGGGTGAGAGCCTCGTCCTCCCCAGAGAGCAGTCTGAGGCGGTCTTCCAGCCAGGGCGGGGGATTTGCCCGGCGCAGAAATGTGGGAAAGCCCGTGGCGGCTAGGAACCCTCGCTTCCATTCATGTCTGTGTTTTCCGGCCAGCGATTTTCTTTTGACCACGAGAGATTCCATTCCGGAGAAGATAAAACTCCTGGAATCGGGATCCTCCGCGTGCCCCTCCAGCGCCCTTAGACGCAGAACATTCCCGCAGCCCAGCCTTTGCGAGCCTGACACCCGTCTCAGACTTCCCCGAGGAGCCTCCGGGCTGCTCCTTTTCAACCGAAAGACAGGGTCACCCCTCAGTTGAAGTTGCTCTTGGGTTTTCCGCAACTCACCTGAACTCCACCCGAGCCCCCCCCCCACCCCCCGGGCTTGCTGCTGCCACCTACCGTCCGACCTGAATGAAATTCAAATGCATGCTCCAGCCCAGTTTAAAGGAGGGGGAAATCTTTTCTTCCTCGCTGGGGCTAAGAGCGGTTTGGGGAAGATACGTTGTGTGGGGCCGGGGCGGGGGGCGGAGGGGGTTGGTGAGCAGAGAGATTTTTCTAGCCGGGGCCAGGGGAGCGAGGCCTCAGAGGTCGGGTGGGTCTGGCCATTGTGCAACCCCTTCCAGTTCCTCTGAGCAGATAATAGCTGAATCCAGATGGTGACAGCCCATGTGTGTCACCGTTTCCAGTTGAGTCTAGGATATGAGTAACCGGACCAAACAAAAGGCCCTTAAAGAGACCAGCTAGTTTCTGAGAGGAGATACTACCCATTTCCCCGGTGAAGGTGGGGGTGGGAGCTGCCCCCCCCTCCGTGGGAGGGGGGGAGATAAACAAACAAATGTAAAAACCATGGAGAACATCCCATATCCCTCCTGTGACAATTTTAACTCCAGGCTGCTTATACCTGAGTCAGACTGTAGGCAGATTGTTTAAGGCTGTGTTGTCACAGTCTTTCTGCGAGTCATCTGTTCCTTCTGACTAATGACAGATCTGCATGTTCCCCAGCCCCCTGCTTCCACTTGGAGGCTGCAGAGTCACCACATTCTGTGTGCTCTGTGCTGAGAGCTTTGGGTCTGCAGGAGGTCATGCATTTTCAGCTCCTGGAGATCCCGGGGTTGGGGGAGTTGCTGATGGAAGGTTGGGACACCTTCATCAGCTACTTCCAGCAGCCTCGCCTGCAAACAAGGAAGGGCCACAGAGGGTGGGGGCTTTAGGGCTTAGCTCTCCCCGGTGGGTGGGGGAGGATGATGGCCTCATGAAAGGAGGTAACATAGATAGAAAACAGTTATTTTAAACCATCCGTATAGTAACCCAGTTGCTAGCCCAGAGCCCTCAATGTTGCTGGTCTGGGGGGGGGCGTGGTTAGAGGCAGCTGGAGCTGCATAAGGTGGGGCGGCAGAGATAAGGGGCTGTCAATGAAGGGAGCCTTACTGTCAACGGAAGGCCAACGATTGAGAGTTGCAGTCTGGGATTCAGGAGGCAGCCTCTGCTTCCCTAGCCTCCTAAATGGGGGGGGGGTCACCTTCTCTCTGCAGGTGTTCCCCATTAAACACTACCAGGATAAAATCCGGCCTTACATCCAGCTGCCCTCACATAGGAACATCACCGGCATCGTGGAAGTGATCCTTGGGGAAACCAAGGCCTATGTCTTCTTTGAGAAGGACTTTGGGGACATGCACTCCTACGTGCGCAGCCGGAAGAGGCTGCGGGAAGAGGAGGCCGCCCGGCTCTTCAAGCAGATTGTTTCCGCCGTTGCCCACTGCCACCAGTCAGCCATCGTGCTCGGGGACCTGAAGCTTAGGAAGTTCGTCTTCTCCACGGAGGAGAGGTGAGCAGCCTCCGCAGCTCCTCCCGTGTGGCCTTTCGGGGCAGGTGCCGCGGTTAGATGCAGAGTGTTGGTTCACACCAAAGCCAAGGGCTCAGTTGTCCCAGAATTAGTATTTAGAAGCCCTCTCCCGAGGAGCCATGGCCAAGGATGGTTTATTCTGCACTCTCGTGGATGTGGCCCGGGGACACGTTGGTGCTTCTTTCTGTGGGATGTCACATGAGGACAGGATGCCCTCCCCACTTCCACTCCAGGATCAAGTTTATTCCCCATTGTGGTCAGAAAGGTCAGTTCTTCTGGGGTACAAATGGTCAACCCGTCCTTCACAACATTGACGCCTAAAGGAAGGTTTCAAATCCTTGCTTAAACCAAGTGGGGGGCTTTTTTTTTTTTTTTGTACCTAGAAAGTATCACGGAGCTAACTGTTGTATTTGCACTCTTCTGCCCTCCTCCTTGGTACCCTATTCCTGTTCCGCTTTGGGCTGGTCCCCAGTACTTTCTTCACATTCTCTGGTGGCTCTTTTAGATCTCTTGTTTGGATACATCTTCAGAAAATAGCCACATTGAATAATACATGGATGTTGGCTGGAATTGGTTGCTAAATATAGGTCATGACTTCCCTCATAAAGGACAGGATGAGCTTGATAAGAGGATAATGAGACATTAAGATTCAGAGTTGAGGTTTCAGGCAAGGGAATTCAAGAAGCCACAGGAAATAAACCTTACCTGATTTTAAGAGGTGGGCCATATTCCTTACGGGTCGATTAAGAGCAATATTATACCCTTGCAGAATTGCGGAGGGGTGTGTGTTATTTTGTTGCAGTTGTTCAGAATTGGGGGGCGGGGGTTGCGTGTGCGTTACTTTGTTGCAGTTGTTCTCGCTGGGCTGCCCCGACCTGTGCGTTTTTGCGTTTTTACCCTTAACTCCAGATCGTAGGAAAGAGTACGGGGTTGAATTGCCATAAAGCATAGCTTTATATCTGACCTTGCAATACTTATTGGAACATACCGATTAGCAAAGAAAAGCAGCGTGTTTGCAATGGAGAAGTTTCCAATTCCTGGAACATGCTCCTTTGATATGTTGATGTATTTTCTGAAACATGCCTTACACACCTCCTTGCTAGCTTTTGAAATCCGCATTGCACAGGCGACTGCCATGTGCGTGGAGTTTGGCAACCCGAGGGTTAAGCAATGGCCGGCTGACGCTAGTCTCGTAACCAGCACAGGTGCAGGGTTTTAGAACCACAGCAGCCAATCAGGGGCAGACAGTGTGGGTTGAGTCATATTTTCCGTTTACAGAACCAATGGGTATTTTACATAACGACGGGGAGGTCAGGCTGAGGACATACTGAAGTTAGCACATGTATACTACACTCCAGGGAACAGGAAGGCAGGAAGAAAAAAAAAAAAAACAAAAAAAACCCAACCAGACCTTTGAGAGGAAAAAAAATTGACCCATTAGCCAGTACCAAATGTTTGCATTTGACTTCACCACCAGGGACTTACTGAAACAGGGCTATTTCAGAGAAGCAGGGAGGTGCACAATCTGCCACCAGATGATAGAGGTTCCCCACATGCCTCTGGGCTTTGGGGGATCCATGAACCGTGGGTGGCTGGGTCCGAATGAGGAGGCACCTGCAGCTTCAGAAGGGAGCCTTTGCCTAAAGATTTTTTTCAGACTTTAGCGCTGACCTGAACAGATAAAGCCCCCACGTAGAAGAAATAGGCTCAGGTGTTGGTGGGCCATCCGTGTGTATGGATGTTTGTAGGCCCTGCATCCCTGAAATCCACCAGCCACCTCTGTTTGCTCCTATAACCTCTTGGTCCAGGCTAAGTGTTCTTTGCAGTTAAACACCCCAATAAGTGATGAACCTTCCTGGAGCCTTTCCCATCACAGTTAACCTGGCCTGGGCCCAGGTGGACAGGGTTCCCTCTGTGTGTGTATGTCAGCGTGAGCAGGAGTGCTGACAGCATGAGCAGAATAGCGGTGACTTGGGGCCCTAGGTTCTATAGTTTAGAGTATGGGCCCAAGTAGCCCTGGCAGTCAGTGGCATGATAAGAATAAGATGGGCCTCTAAAACTAATGATGTAATGTATGGGGATTAACATAAAAATAAAAAAAATTAAAAAAAAGAAAGAATAAGATGGGCCTTTAGGATGCTCAGTCCCCGTCCCCCGCCCCACCTGCCGCCCCCTGCCCAGAAGAAGTAGGATATACTGTTCTTCTCTGATAGCTCTGCAGAAAATTCAGCATTCCCCTAAGACAAGCTCCCACTTCTGCAATGGGAACTTTGTAAATTGTGTAACCCTATTAGGATATCTCTTCTAAGCTCTAGCATAATGAAGAGTATGTGGGGCTTTGCATCATACCGTCCGCCCCAGGCTCTCTCGATAACTTTGCAAATGTTTATTGCAGTTTGTATTGGTTTGTGAAATCCTGAGTCCTGGGTGGTTGCAGGGCACTGCTTACTGGATGAAGGGGTAAATGGCGTTCCTTGGGTCTTTGCCTTTAGTGCCTGTGGGTGCTATTATAGAGAAGGCTTTGTTTTTCATAGCAGCTGATCTGGAAGTAATAGCTTGTTTCCTCTCCTGCAGAAGCCAGCTCAGACTGGAAAGTCTAGAAGACACACACATAATCAAGGGGGAAGACGATGCTCTGTCAGACAAACATGGCTGCCCAGCCTACGTGAGCCCCGAGATTCTGAACACCACGGGGACCTACTCCGGAAAGGCGGCCGACGTTTGGAGCCTAGGGGTGATGCTCTACACCCTTTTGGTGGGCCGCTACCCCTTCCATGACTCAGATCCCAGTGCTCTCTTCTCCAAAATCCGCCGTGGACAGTTCTGCATTCCTGACCACATTTCCCCCAAAGCTAGGTGCCTCATTCGCAGCCTCCTGCGACGGGAGCCCTCCGAGAGACTCACTGCTCCTGAGATCTTACTCCATCCCTGGTTCGAGTCTGTCTTGCAACCTGGCTACGTCGACTCAGAAATAGGAACTTCAGACCAGATTGTTCCAGAGTACCAAGAGGACAGTGACATTAGTTCCTTCTTCTGCTAATCCCCAAACCTCAGAAACCTCATAATTCTCACACATGGCATTTCCATTTCTAAAGATGGACCGGCCTTGCGGCGTGCTGCCAACCAGATATGTGATGGCGTAAAGATTGTAGCTGCTGAATGCAACCTGGCGCTAGCCCTCTCTATTTGTTGCGACGAGCGGCCTTATGGATCTGAGCTGTGCACGCTCTAATCGGCTGCCCTGCAAAGCTGTTTCCCTTCTCCACGATCCCTCCCGCCGCCAACTGTCCTGCTGTCAGATGCGGGGCCGTTCCGAGTCTGCAGAGGTGGCAAAGAGTATGGATGTCCTACAGCAACGTGGTCGAGTGAAAGGAAGGTGAACATTTTAAACGGAGAGGAAGTGAGTGGTACAGTGGCATTTTGGGGCAGTAACCATATCTTAACAGGGTGACAAATCATTTTGGGCCAATAAACCTGCCATCGTTGAACTTGTCTTTGGGAGCTAGACTGTCACTCCCCCAGCTTCTCTGTTGGGAAGTTCTTTTTGGGGTTTGGTTTAACACACACCCTTTCTTCACCCTCACATTTACCAATGACCCTGCTCCGTTGTGGGAGCAGACTGTTTGAGGAGCATGGGAGCCTGCCCGCACGACGAACCCAGACTCTCGCCTCCGTTTCCTGCCAAGACCTCATTTGCACTAATGCCTTCTTTCTGACCTTGAAACGTCCCCTTCTTCGCTAGAAAAGCACTTACCAGCTAACCGTGGAGAAGCATCACAACAGATTTGAACTCCTGGCTATTTCAGAACTCTGAGCTCAGACAGAGAGACTGCAGATTGGTAAAGTCAACTTGAGCCCTTGGAAACCGTGAGCTTTTGTTGGTTCCCCTCAAACGTGTTGGCATTTAGCCTTTGTTCCCAAGACCATCTCAGGGTGGAGCATTTTGTCTAGGAGGAGAAAGATAAGGGGAGGCTCTCCTCGCCTCTCCCGAGAGCAAACGTTAAACATCTTTGTGCTTTAGAGAAACTGAATTTTGGAGAGCCGTAGACGATTCTCAGACCCACTTCCAGGATTGTACTTTAACCCTTCATGGATATGGTCTGCCTCCGGCATTGTGCGTGTGTTTGCAGTTTTGCATGATGGGTTGTTCGTATTTTAAATTTGGTGTGGTTTACAAATATGTCTCTATAATCAGCATCTAGAGTGAAATGGCCCCAAATCTTTAACGTCAGAAGAGCCTTTTTAAAAGTATCTCATCCAACTTCTTTCCTCTTTCTGCCACCTCCCAAAGCAGAAATCCCGCCCCACCCCCGACCGCCCTCCCTTCATCTTCCTTCAGGTGGGAATCCAGCCTCTGTTTGAACGCTTCCAGAGATGGGAGCTCACTACCTACAAAAGCTAGAGCTTAACTGCAACTTGCATTAAAAAAAACCAGAACACACAAAATATCAATAAATGTCTCAGTACTGAAATCAGGTGGTTAAACGGGTAAACCAAACATACTGTATTTTGAAAAAAAATGGCACAAAATCAGGCAGTCATTTTTAAGGGCTACGCCTAGGCAAACACCTAACGTGCATTGTGAGAATGCTGTGTATACCTCACGTACTGTGTACTTTGTGTATATATATATATATATATATTTTACCTTTTATACCTATTGTCCAATATGTTTTATTGTTTTGGCTCTGAGGCTTGTTTTGTCTGTGTCTGTCTGAATAACCTGCGTGTCTAAAACCACGTGAAATGTGAATGATTATCGGCAATATTACCTTGACAGAATCATGGGACTCGGAGAAGAGGGAGGACAGAGGCCTCTGTCGTACTAACGTGCTCGTGGTTGCTGACTGTTGTATCTGTGATACATTATCCGGCTGAGGACTCTGGGCTGGCTGGGGCTTCTGCCGGGAAAGCTCGAAACACTAGATCCTTCCTGTACGTGTGTATATATGTGAACAGTGAGGCGACCGTTTCTGACTTGTAGAGAAATTTTAATAAATCTGGTTTCGTAAATAGGCGCAGTGCATTCCTTTTGAGTCCAGTCTGCCTTCTGCCTTGTGCAACTTCATGCTGGGGATGCAAAGGTCTCTGGCATCTGGGTTTGGAATATCACAGGGGAAACGCAGAAGTAAACAGCTGATGATTATTATGTATGACCTTTGGCAGCGTTGAACCCATTCACTTTTTCCATTGAAGTGGGCAAATTCATTTTGATGGGTGAAGCCAGTTTGGTGAAATCAGGTGGGTGAGGGCTGTGGGCTGGTACAGAGCGGAGAAACATTTGAAGAGGAGCAATGGAACAATCCCTCTGGCCTCTGGTCTTTTTTAGGTCAGGGACCCTAGAGAATTTGATGAAAGCTATGGCCACTTAGAAAAGTGGACACAGGCAAATCCAACAGAATTTTGTTAAAACTGTGAGAGGTCTGCGTGTGTCCCTGAGGGCATCCCAGGCTTCCTGCTGAGTGAGAGCCCCCCCCCATTAGATTTCATTAAAAAGGCTAATCGAGGCATTTCCTTTTTCCCCCTGTAAGTGTAAAAATGAAAATAAAGGAAGCAAAAACCAAAGTGACATCATTTTGAATCACAAAGGTAAAGAGAAAGAAAGGATTCTTATATAATTAGGTTTATAGCTTCTGGGTTACATCAGAATCTATTTTAAAGGAAGTAAATTAGCATCGAAAATGATTTAAAAAAAGACTTTACACTGTAAAACATAGCAAATATACAGACAAATGCACATAAAAGTGTTTAGCTCTGAGTTTTCACAAGCCAGACATTGGCATAACCAGCCAGTGGGATCAGGAACGCTTGGCCGGGACACCACGATCCCCTGTCCCGGGTCAGCCCCCGTCTGACACCCCCTCTGAGGGCCCCTCCCACCGGGTAGAATTTTAACTCGTTCTCACATTGAAAATTAGAATGGAATAAATCAACCCTGGGTTTAAATGAAGAGGCAAACAGAAGTGACAGATGACACAACTGCGTTTTTCTAGGACTCAGGCTGAGATCACCCAGGAAAGCAGACCTATGACACCAAAGTAAATTGCAACTCAGGCCTCGTGACCCAGGAACTTAAATGGAAAAAGCTCATCAGACGCAGGGGAGGGAAATGGCCAAATGCCCGAGTAGCTTAGAAACTAGGAAGCTGGGGGTTGGTCTAGGGTCATCCCATGAATAGGACCCTTTAAGCCCAAAGTTCCTGGGGCCTCAGAATATGCAATGTGGTGTCTCCTTGTTCCAACATATCTAGACGAGGCTCCGTGTAACTCCTTGGGCATACAGAAGGCTAATACTTTGGACTTCACTGAGCTTTTTCATCTAAGGATTTCAAAACACTTTGCAAGCAATTAAGGTTACAACATATCTTAGTACTGTTGTTACATGTACCAAGTGGAGAGAAATATGGGTCAGGATTGGCTGGGATGGCATGTGATGCCACGGATACATAAATGTAATCTCTTCCAAGGTAGGAACAAATCTGGGGCAATTTTACCCGGCTACACTATAGACGTTTGGAATGAGAGTGTGTGAGCGCAGGCTGGGAAACCGATCACTTTTATTTCCCCTTGTGTCCTCAACCTACCTGTTGTTGGAGTAAATCATGCAAGTAACATCTCGATAACATTTTGTTCACGGCATACTTTCTAGAAGGTTTACTCTTGCCCTCCTCCTTCCCCCTTTTATATTCACAGAAGCGAACTAGGCAAGCCAAATATGACTTGCTCCATTTTGTAGATGAGAAAACTGAGTCCCAAGTGTCTCTAGGCACCTACTCCGGGGTAAGCTGCTCAGAGCTGGGACTTGAACTCGGGTCTTTGGACTCCTTGCTCAGTGCTGTTGTGGTGTCTGCACACCACAGACTTTTACTGCAGCGTAAAAGTCTTCCGGTAGGATGATGATTGAAGGAGGTGGTTTGAGATAAATACAAATACTGAGTCTTTAGCCCAGTTAACCTCTTCGAAAAGATCCAGCCAGTACTTCAGTCATAAAGATGGGAGCATTATGCAAGATGAGAGATACATGATTGAATAAACATTGTGCACCCACCATGTTATGTGCCAGGCACCCGTAGATCTTTGGGAAACACATGACCCAGCCTCACTCCTAGCTCACTGAATGGGAAGCTCCATGGGGTCAGGGAGGACTGTGACAGTCGTATTCACCCCTGGCTCCCCAGCACCCAGCGCAGTGCTTCCCACAAGGAAGGTGTCCCGTGCCAACATGGATGGATGGATGAATGGATGGATGCACGTCTTCCAGCAGCTCAGAGAACCACAAGCAAGGAAACAAATCTTGTGACTGGGGTCTCGTCCTAGCTCTGAACCCTTCAGCTGTATGACCTTGAACAAACAGATCTGCCACTGTGGTTCTTATTTGTTCATCTTTAAACGTGAGTGATACTCCTTCATTTCTTTCTTCCGTCCTTTCAGCTGCCATTCTGGGAAAACAGAATGATTCCGTGATTCTGTGAAAATAGGTACTATAATGATCTTCGTCAGACTGACCATGGGAATAGTTTTGTGCTTCCTTTTAAAACAGCACAGCCGAGTGATTGGGTTCCTTGTCTAATTTCACTCTGGGCAAGGAAAGGCATTGCAGCAATAAAGATTATGGAATTGGCTTTTCAACAGGGCTTTGGCAGGGAAAGGGAGGGCAAGTATTTAGTTAATCGCCCCCTCCCTCCCCTCAAAAAAAGAAAAAAAAAAAAAAAGGAGAGTGGGATCTCATTACCAACCCCGCAGAACCTTCCTTACCAGGTTTTGGTGGATTCTGTAATGATCCCAACTGCAGTCAATGACTTGTGGTTCGTAGAAGGGCAAGATGTAGCCAAACATCACACCTCAATCTTCCTAGATGTTTGACGGCACGTACCTCATTCTACTCAGCAACCCTTCAAGGTGGGTGATCTGTTCCCATTTAACAGATATGGATGCTGAGACCCAGAGGCTGGACTGTCTGCCCAAGGTCCCGAAGCCAGAGGGTTGGGGACGGGGGAGAGGGGCGGACTCCAACCCAGGCCTGGTAACAGCAGGTCTTTGCCCGTTCCTGTCCTGTGCTTTGTAGATTGGGTCTGACAGATGCTAGACCAGCGACACAAAGTCTTCTTTTTGGAGCAGCTATTTTGCTGGGACATTTTTTGCCAGGAAGTGTAAGTATGCTGGATTAGTCCTGTTTTCAGGCTATGATTTCTACCAGCTGAGATTTGTCAACAGGGTGCTCCTGTTATACTAAGAGGATTAGCAAAGGATTACCTCCCGGCACCCCTATAAAGCAAGCGTACTGCTATTATCCCCTTTTGACAGATGAAGAGCCTGAGGTTCAGAGAAGGTAAGGGGTTTGCCCAAAGTCACACAGCACAGCATTCATTTGCTAATTAACACACCCAGAGCCCTTAAGGCCTATTGTCCCTTTGTTTTTGGAACTGGGAGGGGACTTTCTAAACTTTAGAAACTATTTATTTAGTCTTGAAATGCGGTGTGGTGTCCTGGAACAGAAAGAAGCTATTAAGGGGAAGATGAGTGAGATCCAAGCAAAGGCTGGAGTTGGATCGGTAATAACATGCCAGTGTTGGTTTCTTCGTGTGCCAACCGTACCGTGCGAATGTAAAGTGGTAACAGTGGAGCAAACCCAGTGAGGGACTCTGTACTATCTTTGCAACTTTTCTGTACATACTAAAATTATTCCAAAATGAAAAGCTTATTAATAAAACACATTAAGTCCACACTGCCCCCATTTTCAGCGAGAGGAAATCAAGGCTGAGACCCGGAGGCAAGGTCACTGCGGACCCAGCCTCCCCAGGCCCTGCCCTGCTGTGCCGGCTCCCTGGGGTGCTGGCTGGTGTGACCTTCCAGAACGTGTCTAGAGCAGAAGGAGGTGAATGTGAGGCGTTTCCGTGGAACGCGTCCGAGACTTTGCTTGCCACAGGACATGACATTTTGAAAAATGGTCTGACCTTTAGACCAGTGACTCCACGAGTGTCTCTGTCAGTTTCCTCATCTGCTCATGGCTGAGCCAGGCCAGGGGCTGTGTGGCTCCCTCACGAACTTTAATTCCACGCCTCATTAGCTCAAAGACCGCGGGGGTGAGCCGGGGAAATATCCGTGCAAGGAAGGCTTTCCCTCTGTCTGAAGAGGAAGACCTGCGGGAGTCGGGGCTCCAGGACACTCCAGACACATTTCTCACCCGGCTCCGAGTAAAGAGGGTGTCTGGTCTCTGGGAGGTGAAGAGCCAGCCCACCTGCTCCCTGCCTCCCCGGGGACGGTTGCTCAGTCTGTGCCCTGCGCCCGGGAAGGTGCCGCAGCCCTCAGCGGCCAGGAAGCAGGTTAGTCCAGCATCACCCCCGTGTTCCAGCTGGGGAAGCCACGTCCGAGAGGGCAAAGTACAGCAAATTTGCAGTCGATGCTTGTCTTGTTTCTGGAAATTTCTTTCTCCATAGCCGGAGTTAGAGTTGGTTTCCTGCTGATAAGCATCTTTCTTAAGTCTTCGCTGGGGAAGTCAATCTGTGGATGACATTTCCCCCGGCAGCCCCCGAACACTCAGTATTTCTCAGACACATTGTTCCACAGCCGGTGTCCACTATGAATAATTTGAGTAACGGTGAGGAAAGGAACCCGCATGTACAGAGTTCGTCGTATTTGCCCAACCCTGCCGTAGCACTTTATAAACACGGTCTCGTTTCATTCTTAGGACAACTCTGTAAGACAGGCAATCTTATTTGTCCCGTCTTACAGGTGAGTACGTGAAAGCCCAGAGAGGTGAAGTAACTTGCTCAAGGTCACACAGAGAGTGAATGGGATCTGACCATGGGGCGTCTCACTCTAAAGAATATGCCTTTAACATGTGGGTGACCTGCTACCCCCTTTTCGGCAGGGGTTCACCTTTTATATTTTATTCTCACAATTAAAGTCCTATCATGTCAGTGTCCCCTGACCTCCCTTGAGGGAAAACACTTTGCGTTTGACACTTTGCAAAGCTAGGGGTAAAGAGGAAAAGGTTTGAACTTTAGGGTTAGAGGGACCTGGTAGCAAATCCTAGCTCTGTAGCTAATCAGCTTTAGGAATGAGACAAGTCACCTGACCTCTTCCTCATTTGTAGCAACAACGCCTCGGAAGGCTGCGGCAGTGAGGGTTACATGAAGTAATGCGTGTCCGGGGCCAGCCCCAAGGTGCCACACAGCTGCCTTGAAAGCTGGGCACATCACTTCGAAGTGGAAAGAACCCAGGCGGGGAGGTCAGACAGACCTGGATTCGGATCCCAGCCTAGCTACTTATTTGCTCTCTGACCTTCAGCAAATTGCAAAGCCTCTCTGGACCCAGAATTTCCTCATCCATAAAATGGTACCTAACAATAAGCATTTTTGCAGAGCTACAGCTCTGCGGGCAGGATTGGGGATAAATCACACCAGGGACCCGGCCTGGGACTGTAGTCAGAGATGAGCGTTCCCCTTGTCATTCTTCAGCATTTCCCCCTCCCTCCTCAGCCTTCCCTACTCTTTCCCTTGTGGTTCGCGCGGGCTTGCCAAAGTCAGAGTGTTGACTGTCCTGGGGGACAGCTTGGAGGGGAGGGTCAGTGGCAGGGAGCAGGGCAGTGCCCCGGGGGTCAGCCTTCCCACCACCTCCTGCCCGGGGGCCTGCCCACCTTGACCTTGGGCCGTTCAGGAGCAAGCAGTTGGGCTTCTCTGACCTTGTCTAGAGGTCCCGCTCCTCTAGGGCATCAGAAACTCACCCTGGGCAGGGGGGAGGGGGTGTGTGACTTGAAACCATTTTGCGGATACCACCTTGATTCCCAAAACAGAGGTCTCACTGGGACCCCACAAGGACAGAAGAGATTAAAAAAATTAACACGTGGCCAGTTTCTGCTGAGGCAGGGATAGCTTAGTTCCGGCCAGTTGGGTGGCAGAGAGAGGAGCCTGGAGTCACAGAGGCCCAGGTTTAAAGTGGGGCCCAAGTACTTACCCACCTCAGCCTCAGTTGCCTTATTTGTGAAATGGGGTTAGTAAGAATTCTCGCCTCCTGAGAATGTGCCGTTGAAATGAGATCCTGCTTGTAAAGCATTTCCCTGACATATACAAAATGCTCAGCAAATGTTGGCTACCAATAAGCGGCATCAAGGATGGTCAAACGCAGCAAGTCAATCCATCAAAAAAAAAAAAAAATCCTAAACAATGCTTCTCATGAACGGGCGTGAAGGACCTGGTTAAAATGCAGATTCTCTTCATCAGGGCGGGAGCTGGGCCTGAGACTCTCCTTTTCCCAGCAGTTTCCAGGTGTAGTCAATGCTGCTAGCCTACCAACCACAGTGAGAGCAGCGTGGGGCTGAAACCCATTTACAAAGAGAAACCTGTTGGGTCTCAGTTAAGATGAGCTAATTCCTGAAAATGGGTCAATTTTGGGTAAATCCGGGAGGAGGGGAGTGGAGAGAAAGTACTATTTACTGTGGCTGCTTGGCATCGGGTGTGTTGAATGAATTATCTCTTGGGATTCTCACAGCGCAGCTGAAGGATGTTCTCAGGTCCACCGTACAGGTGGGGGAACTGGGACTCAGTTGTTCAACGCTCCAGGTCCCAAAACTTAGCAAAAGATGGGACTGAGATACGGCCTTGCGTCACCTTGCTTCCAATCCATCACCAGTGGATCACCAGGATCACCTGTCGCTCTGGATCTCGGAGGCAATGGCAGGAGCCTGAGAACATAGCCGAGACCATCCTACACAAGCCACCTCCTCGGTTTCCCTGCTGGAAGTGAGTGGCCTGTGTGTAAATGACCTCTAGTGGCCCCCCCACCTCCTGTTGGAAGAGTTTATCTGTCCCTGGGTGCGCCACTCTTACTCAGCATTCCATTGGCTGCTTCCCCACTCTGCTTCCTAACTCGGTGCTGATGTTCTAATTGCAGACATATCGATGTCACCCGTCCACTTAGGAACACTGGCAGACCTGCTGGACACGGGCCTGTTCACCATAGCAGGCCAAGCGATGCAATGGACACCAGAATAAACTCAGCACCTGGTCCAGAGAGAACATTCTTCTATACCCCAGAGATGAGCCTCCCAGCGTCCCTGCAGGTAGAGAAGGCCACTTGCGTCAACTTGAAGTCATGTGGGATCTAGTTTCACCTGGAGCCCAGGCTCAGAGTCTTAACCCCATAGGGCCCGAGTGCTAGAGAGATAGGTTTGAGCCCACACAGGGCGACACAGGCAGACAGGCCCACATTCCCCCAGGTGGACTCCCGCATACCTCCCGCATACGGCCCAAGGTCAGAGAGAACTGGGCAGGATTTTGGAAAAGCACGTTGGCCAGAGCTAAAACCTCTGGGTTTCAACCTTGGGGTATGACACTGAGCAAGTTATATATTCTCCTTGGGCCTCAGTTTCCTCTTCTGTAAAATAAGGCAAATGTGGTAGTTTTCTGGCGGGGTTCTGGTGAGAATTAAATGAACTAATACAGGGCCGCCTGGGTGGCTCAGTCAGTTAAGCATCGGACTCTTGGTTTCGGCTCAGGTCATGATCTCAGGGCTGTGAGATCAAGCTCTGCACTGGGCTCTGCGCTCAGCGTGAAGTCTGCTTGAGATTCTCTCTCTCTTTCTCCCTCTGCCCCTCCCTACTTGCATGTGCATGCTCTCTCTCAAAATAAATAATCTTAAAAACAAAAGGTAAATGAGCTAATACATGCAAACCATCCCATGCAAGCCATCCTCATAAATGTGAAATCTGTTAGAGTAGGGACTTCTCTGTTCTATTTATTGTTGTATACCCAGTATCTGGAAGAGTGCCTAACACATGATAAATGTTCACAAATATTTATGCAATGATTGAATTAGGGAGCCTCTAGAGTGGTGGTTTTCGAACTATGGTCCAAGGAACCCTACGGTGTCTGGGGCCACTGAATGATGGGATGGAGGGAGTGTGAGAGGAAAAACTTGGAGAGGAACCAGCATCATTGTGCTCCCTTCCCCTGCCCAGATCCTCTCTGATTTATATGTTATAAATGTGGTTTTTCTGGGTAAAATTTTATTTGGAGGAAGATTTTTGCAGCTGAAAAGTAGTCAGAACATCATTAATATCCAAAATTTATTTCCTAGACCACCTGCCTTACATTGTCCTGGGTGAGGGTTAAGAATGCTGATTCCCTGACCCCATGCATGATCTACTGAATCATATTTTCTGGGGAAGGAGTATGCATTTTTAATCAGTGTCTTAAGGCATTCCCATTCATGCTAACATTTAAAAAACACGTGTCTAAATCATGTTACAAGTGGGGACATGGAAGCCTTGTTAGGTGAGGTGCCTGGCTCAAGGTCTCCAGGGCGATGTTGGAAGGGCTGGTGTAAAGGTGTCTTAACTCCTAGACCAAGTGCTCTTTCCAGGCTGCAGCTTCTATGACCCTAAAACAAACAAGCCCCTTGTGGGTCCAGGTGATGAGAGGGGTTGTGGGAGGGAGATAGGAAGTTGGTCAACACTCTCTTGGCCTTGGGGTAACTGTCTGCCTCTTGGAGCTTGGGCTTTGCCCACACATGCCAGGGTGGGCACTCAAAGGGTGTTGGTCTAATAGAAGGAATGAGTGAAAGAATGACATTCTTTTTTTTTTTTTTTT